CCTAATATAACCCTTCCTTGTCATGCACATCCTTTTGACGGTTGGCATATGGTGTAATGTTCTATTTCTTCAAACTGTAAAATCCTTGCAACAAACTAAATTATAATAAACTAAAATGCTTTCTTTAAACCAAACTACGATGTTCCTCTTATATTTGGCACATTTATGTTCAAAGATTGCATGATTGGGTTTTGCATGTAAAGGCTAACATTTCACATTGAAACTGAACGATTGTTGTTCTCTACTTAAAAAAACACTTTAGATTTTAAAATGGAAAAATTTTTTATTTTTTAAATATTTTTTTTACTTAAAAATTCTATGTATGACATGGATGCATAAAAACCTAATTTTATTTCAGTGTTAAATTCTGTTTAAAGCAACAGATTATAATTAAAAATGTCTCCGGATCTTTACTGGTTGATGATTTTCTTGGTTAACACCCTGCTGATTTTTAGTTGGTGACCCATGTTCTACACTGTCTGAGGATTCACAATGTGGCATACTTGTTAGCCTCAGATTAATCTTTAGCCTTATACAGACCACAGACATCCTTCGGTTAAAGATCTCAAGGTCTGATGAGGTTTCCTAATTCAAAGCAACCATGTTCCAGCCAAATAAGAACTGTTCTCACTACAGCCTCTAAGGAGGTGATGATGCGTTGGTTTATACACTGTGATAGCCATAAAGAAAGTAAACTGAAAAGTAAAAAGTGATTTCTAACCAGGATGCAGTTTTGCAGTTTTCGTTTCCCTGAGAGACAAATGATCCTCACTTGGAAATCAGAATAAAATCTCTTCTCACTATATTTCTTAGAAAATAAGCAATAATTTGCTTCTTCTACTTTTACTTATAAACTGATTTATGTGTTTGGTTCCACCCTCTGGCTTAGACTGTATTGTTCGTGCTTGCACAAAGTAAGCACAAAAAAATGAGTTTCACCAGGATGTCAACAGGGAGACCTACAGTAGTAAACTGTAGTCAGTGAATACGATTAAGAGAATTCACCCCACAGGTTTAGCTGTGAAGTAGAGGGTAAAATATGGCCTTATTACCATCATGCTGAGCTAAAACCACATTTATTAGCTTGTCTGCTACGTGAGCTGATTACCCAACAAAAAAACCCTAAGATAGTAACTTTCTTAAAATTACAGTTAATCTAAAAAACAATACTGCATTATTAATTGCATTTAGAGGAACAATAATCTTACGTATTTATTCCACATGGTATCTTATTTTAGCCAATTTAAAGCTATTTCTTATCCATTGTAATTAGGAGCTATGTGCTAGGTGCTTCTTGTTTAAATTACCTGCTTGTATAAAATGGAAAATGTTTAAAGGCATACAGTGTAACTTTTGGCCACTACTCTTCGTCAACTCTTTTTGTCGCAAAGTCCACAGTGTGCCTTTAAAGTAATGAGAATAAAATATGTCCTATTCTTGCCTCCTTAAATGTTCCCAATTATTTTATTTGAGAGTATTAACATGAAAATGCACAGCTCTTCTACTATACTATACTATACTATACTATACTATACTATACTATACTATACTATACTATACTATACTATACTATACTATACTATACTATACATGTTAAATGTCAAAATAATTCACACCACCTATAGCTATATGTTAAAACTGAACATACTGTGTAACTGACAACATTTAAAGCCTGAACTAACCTAGTTTCCAATATATGCACATAAACATATTATTATTCTTTCAAAAAAGGTTTTTCTTTTAAAAGAACGAACAAACAAAACTTCTTTTACCTTTTTTTTTCTTACATACAAATGTATCATATTAACTGGAATTACAATTTCATTCTTTTGTCATGATGCACCTCTACACCAGTTCCGTGAATTATTCGGGTGGGTGTTGCTAATGAAAATCTTGCTGTCACAAAGATTTCATTCGAACTCTCTGTGCTTTTGCATTCCAAGCAGGGAGAAAGCTGAAGCTAAAGGCTTTGGGGAATTCCTACTTTGAATAAAGAATAATGATGCCTTACATTCATAATTTATGGGCTCAAAGCCCTCTAAGAAGTCTGGTTTGCTAAGTTGGTGTTGGTGTGAAATAAAGTATCTTTTTCTTGATATTTAGCAGGTTAGATAACTATGCTTCATAGATCATCTTATTTTTTATGTTTGGTTAATTATTACAGAATGACAGAAGAACAATGTGAAAGAAATTATGAGTAAAGACTAAATGTTAGGGTTTAAGTCTTAAACTAACAGTTTGGTGTCCTACCATCTAATATGTCTTGACCTAAACAGCCTTTGTCACACAAAAAAGTAGGAATTAAATTCTGTGATGACTTTTTGATTTAAATTATCACAAAATAGTAAAATTAATATTTTCTTTAACATGCCTGAATTGTTTACAAAAAATGTAAATTGTAAAATACAAAGGATCACAATGCCTGTATTTTAGGGCATATATAAGAACTGGGTGTGGCTTGCTGCTGATGTTTTCAGAAGAGAAAGGTAACAGTGACAGAAATGTCCCTCAATACATGTAGTACTTAGAGATGATCATACAAAGCATAAACACCTCATGCCAGTTATCACTCGCCATGGATGAGCTGATGGTTCAAGCTTGTTTTGCTGCAATAATACTTGAATTGTTTTGTCATTGAGCAGATCATGAACCTCTGCAAATGCAAGAGGATTCTAGCATTAAAATTGTTTTACCTGATAGGGACCAGAAGTTTGGCTCAAACTGGTTCCTCCACATCTCAGTGAATCTAAACAGAAAGTCGAAATACAAATGAAACAAAAGGTTGTTGCTATGGCCCAAAGTAATAATCTCAACATATTCGCCTGCTGCTCAGAGACTGCTATAATCAAAGAGTGATAAAAAAAATGCTTGTAAGCCTTAATAAAAAGAAGAAATGGGAGCAAACAAGAAAATAAAAAAAAATGTTAAGAAAATTATAGATTTAAAGTTACACCTTCAGTTAACGTCGTCCTTGTTCAAATTTATCATCTTAGATACACTCTCTGTAATTGTGTGGTTTTGTAACATTAAGAAAAAATATTTTACCCGGTAGGGCTGGATGATTAATTGATTTTATTGATTAATCACACTTTTTCTTTATGAAGATTGAATTTCTGGAAATTGTCAATATTGTTTTCACCAGTGTGCTCATTAGGCTCAGGCTTCCATAACTAAGACATCAGTTTATTACTGTTTGTTCTTAAATGTCTATTTATAGAAGATAAACGAGCTTACTGTGTACACTCCAAAAATTTAAATCTTAATAAGTAATTTTTCTTAAAATAAGTGCATTTATTCTTGGATTGAGAAGGTAAGTGAGACACTTTGCCAATGGAACAAGATAATTTACTTTTAAAGTAATAAAAAAACAATTGCATTGTCTTATTTCAAGTGCATTTTATCTAATTAACTTATTTTAAGAGTAAAAATACTCATTCCATTGGTAAATCCTCTTACTTACCTACAAAAATTAAGGGTAAATACACTTAATTTAAGATATCTTTACTTATTTCTAGATTGTTTTTGCAGTGTAACACCACTAGCTGTAAACCTTTAGTGTAATGTATTTTCATTGTTTGTTGTGAAAAAGGATTATTTAACAGGCATTTTTCACAGCTTGGATTTCTTTTCACTGAAATTGTTAAAAGGATGAAAAAGAAAACAAAAACTTTAAGCAAACTTTAGCAAAACCTTTATTTTCTCACTTTCATTAAAACAGTGAAGCTTGTCTAAGGCTATTGCCAAGAAATTGACTTTGAATTAAATGTTGTTTATTTTATTATATTTATCTTGTTGAATGTTCTTCCCTTTCAGAGTTGTTTTTCTCTTATTTCCTAATACAGGCAAGGAGCATGTCGAGAGCCCATCAACCCATACTACGTCAACCCAGGTCATGTTCTGGCCCCAGCCACCAGTGCCAATGACAGTGAGCAGCAGAGCATGTCCAGTGACGCAGACACGCTTTCCCTTACAGACAACAGTGTGTACGTTTCTTGTCACCAGACACTTAAACACACTTTTCCCAGAGTCCTTCTGTCACGGCAGACCTAAACACCGCTTGACTCAGCAGTTTTTGACAATAAAATGATTGTCTAGGCTGGACTGTTAAACATTTGAGTGGAGAATTGTACTGAATGTCTAACCCATATAGTGTTTAAAGAAAACACTTATTTTCCATAACCTAGTCCATTTGCAAGCTGTAGACCAAACTGAGTGTTTTATCTGGCATCACTTATAAGGATCTCTCATTTTCAGAGTCTGTTTATGAGTCAGCCAGATGCGTTTTGCCAAAATGAATTTGAAAAATCTTTTAGGTGAAGTGTGACTGATGAATCGAGCCAGTGCCTTCAAAGTCTGCACAGCTGGGAACAATTTTTTTTATAACTGAAGGGATTGAAAGACTCATTTCTCCCTAGCATTTGACACAGGTGATTGTGTAAATTAGTCGACAAATGATTACTCAAACTTTCTGCATGTAAAGCATGTTGCTGTGACCTGCAGACTACTTATGAGGCAGGGTGGGCAGCCACAATGCTGTAAGAATCTCTCTCCTGCTGCACGGATAACAAAGACCCTTTTAGGTGTTTGTTTCAGAGAGAAAAAACTGTGTGAAGCGTTCAGCTTCAAAGCTGCCTTGTTGTTTATTCATGAGGATGACTGATGAAAATGTCTTTTGTTGTTCATTCCAGAGATGGCGATCCATCATACCGATACCGTAAACAGCATCGCCGGGAGATACACGAGAGTGCCAAAGCAAATGGGCGAGTGCTACTACCTCATTTTCCAGTGAGTTATTCATGGGACGTTTCCCCTCCACCTCGCTCTCCGCCTCTACACCTCTCTCTTTGTAACTGTCTGTCTCTGCTTATTTTTCCCTCTGCTCTGCCATTGGAAATGTGCATATTTTAGTTCAGCTGTGTTACAGCGCCTGTGATGGAGTATAAGAATAGCTGATGGTGAAAGAGAAGGCTGTCTAAATGCAGCTTGATGCCTTCCTAAGCTCTGTGCGCTGAAGCCTTGCAGACATGAATCCTCCCCTGTGACAGCCTGATGCCTCCCTCTGCAGCTTTATGCTGTCGCTTGGTAGGAAAACCCTGGCCCTAATTAGGCCTAGGAGTAAAGAGTCCAATTAAAAAGCCACACATGGCGCCCTCCTATCCTAAATATGAATCTGCTATGTAGTGGACAGCATGATGCTCACATCTCCATGCCTAAACAAATTGATTGATTTCAATGTATTTTTAAATAAAAAGATATATTCTAATAACCCTGGAAGAAGAGAATACGGTGCATATGAATTCGACACACCTACTGAATTACCATCTCATTTTTGACATGAAAATGATCACCTAACTCTATTAATAATTTCCAGACATTTTGCAGCTCTCCTTTCACATATAACCCTTATTTCAACCCAAAAAAAGAAAATAAAAGTGTATTAAATTAAAAACAATTAAAATTATGAAGACAGCATTATTTTAATCACATAAATGTGAACAAATGTAAATCATTAAATCACTAAAAAACACTAATCCTATCTTTGAGAATCCCAGAAGTTAAATGAGGATATTTGCTCTAGTTTGAAATGCATACTAGCAAAAATAGAAGTGTTTAAATGACGATATGCAAATAGAGACTGTGCAGTAAGTAATGAATAGCAAACCAATGAGACAAAAAATCAGTTTTCTAATATTTTGAGGTGGTAAAGTCTTGTTACGCAGCCATTCATATTTCCATTTCCAGTCCCAGTGGAAGCGATACTTTATCTCCACCCGTTTCATTGTTTCCTGCTTCTTTTCCTCTCTCTGACCTCCAACGGGATGTGTGGGGTCAACTGTGCTAAAATAGTTCTAAACACACAAGGATGAAAAAAAGAAACAGTCTGACATTTCTTCCCCCAGCGCATAAACCGGATTCCAAAGGATATACACGTGGAGCCAGAGAGGTTCGCTGCTGAGCTGATCAGTAGGCTGGAAGCGGTCCGGAGGGAGAGGGAGGCTGAGGAAAAACTGGAGGAGAGGCTAAAAAGAGTCAGATTGGTATGATTATTTCACTTTCTGTTCTTGAAACCTTAAGCAGATTCACTGCTTTGGCCGTTCGCACTGGAGCTGAAGGATTTCAGGGAAATATTTTAACAGGAGTAAAGTTCAGGAAAATTATGATACTGATGCTGATTATCATTAGCCCTCATTTTTCCACACTTTGTCTGTTTTTGTCATTACAAAATATTTCCCCCACTCTACATGAGCTCCAACATTTGAATAAATACATTTTTCTGTGGGAATTAGAGATTAGACTGAACTGAACTTCTTAAATACACTATAGATCTGCACAACTTAATAGTGCATAACACCTAACTATATTATATCCCACTGACCATTGTAACCTAAGAGTCCTTTGCCATTACAATATGTGTCACGTATAATGTGATGTGATATTGTGCAGCTCAATTGCACACATAAGAGGTATACATTTGCTGATATTGTAGAATTTCTCAAATTTGATATCAGAAGAGTTTTTTAAATGTTGAAAATTGTTTAAAAAAACTATAAAATTGAGGAATTTTTTGTACAAAAAATGAATAGCATAAAAAAAAAAAGAAATACAATGCTAGGGGGAGAAAAACAAACGGAAGTTCACCAGGGATAGGTCTGGGTTCAAAGGGTCAAGAGTGATTTATTTTAAAGTAATTATATTAATTGGATATGCCCAGTGATAGAAATTGAAGTTGAATAACTTTATTAGAGGGAAAATAAAGTCTGGTTCGGTGCCTAGCCATTAGTTTTCTAATATTCACAAACAAAGAGAAATTAAATCTGCCTGGCCCAATGAAATAAATAAGGCCAGTCATTGGAGTGAAGAGTAAAAGGCTCTATGAATCATGTGGAGTATTCTGTCCTTGGCCTGTCAGCAATCTGGCTGCCTGGATGAATCAGACGGAGCACCTGCACACTCGGCCACTTGTAAGCCTGGAACAGCGAGCCAGGCCTGTTTGATGCCACTTGGATCGGCGATGAAAAGGTTGCTTCCACCACAAATGAAATCTCTGTCTAAACGCTCTGCCAAGTATTAAATCTCTAGGTGGATAATTTATGTGGAAGGCTGTGAAAGGAAAGGAAGCCACCATCACAGCAGTTTGTTTGTTTTTAAACAGAAGGTACAGATAAAATGACTTCTATCATCAAAATCATACTGTGGATATCTAGAGTAGGGAAAAAAAAAGCTTTGGTTTGAGCACTTTAGCAATAAAATAATTATCAGGCAATATGCTGTTACATAAGGAAATACCAGAGAATAACGGAAATAAACAATCCTGGTCTCTGAACCAGTTCTTAATTGGATATTAGAGTTATTATATAACTTCTCAAAGGGAAACAGTCTTGTGAAATTGATTTTAATAAATGCCTAATTTTCACAAATTTAATCAAATGAAGCTCAAAGAAGAAGCCTCTCATAATGTAACCAGTGCTGCTACAATATAAAAATCACAATTTTATCACAAGATCAACAATGATTTGTATTCCTCATTTAAGACATTAGGGCAACACTTACCTAGCCTTTTCCTGTAACAGAGAGGAGATGTCTTGGACTTTTCTTCTTCAAACCACTCAGCAATTTTTAGGATTTATTTTCTTCTGTTGACTGATATGTTTAAAGAACTATTTTGTTTTATCTTTTCATTATTGTCCTTATTGTAGCAATATTTTAATAATCGATATATCTGATATGACATCTTTCGGCTTTGGCTCGACAGAGAAAAAAAAAGTATGAATTTGTACTACCTTAGAACATAGTTAAGGCCTAAATTACATTTCCATATACATGTCCTTAATAACTCTTAATGCTTATTTAAGTAAAAGGCCATGCTTGCCTTAAGGATCCATACATACATTGTATATCATTTGTTTATTTTTCATTTTTGCACATCTCTTTCTTTACCATCTACTGTCTCTCTGCTATAAAATACCTGTAGCGCCCCATCCAGTAGTTTCCCCGCAGCAGTTCCTATCAGAGATCAGTTTAGTCCCAATCAGTGGGAGCTGAAGCTGGATAGGCTGCAGTTGTCATGACCCAGAGTGAGCACAGATGTGCTGTGTGCACAATAATTGACTAAGCTTCTGGTTTGACTCTTTACTTCTAAACACAAACTGAAAAATTATACATTTATGAGTGTTATGGTTAAGTGGGGGAGTGTGGGCTTAGTGGTTAGAGCAGTGTGCTTCTACTCTGAGAAGGTTGCAAGTAGCCAGTTTAATCCCCACAGCCTCCACTCTGGGTTCCTGAGCAAGACCTTTAATCCCACACTGCTGCCCGGGCTCTGCACAATGGCAGCCCACTGCTCCTCAAGGGAATGGGTTAAATGCAGAATGTGAATTTTTATTTGCCATCTACAAGTGGACACAGGAACAACATATATATAACTGCTTGAAATTAATGTATTATGAAAATTTATTAAGTGATAATTTAAATTGTTTACCGGTTCCAGTTTTTTTTAAATATTTTGACTAATTTTTGTTTCATTTTTATCAAATAAAGGAGGAAGAAGGCAATGATTTCTCTGCACCTTCATCATTACCCAGTCAAAGATTCCCCCCTAGTGCTTATTCACTGAATTACAACCCTCGTTATGCTGACATCACATACAGCAGTCATTTTGTCCAAGATACTCATGAGGAAAACCCAGAGAGCATCCTGGATGACCATGTCCAGCGGGTCATGAAGACACCCATCTGCGAATCGCCAGGAACCGGGCGCCAATCCCCAAAGTCTCGCTCTCCAGATGGTTTCTCTGGGTTTAGAGGTGCAGTACAGCCAGGCCAGGGTAAACACGCTGCAAGACGTTGTTTGAAGGGAGAACCTGGCCATTCCTCCCACCACAAATATCAGCATCACAGTCATGTAACCACCATGGAGCCCGAGGGGGCCACACGTTCACAAGGCAACTTTGCCTGGAGCCTGGAGACTAGCAATTATAGCTCAAAATCTCGAAGCTATGCAGATGGGATGGTATCCAACCCTGTGGAGCACATAGGCTACAGGTGTGGCACAACTTGAACTCTTTTTACTCTCATTCACCTCTCCAGAATCTTGGTTTTCTACTTATCAGTTGTGTTCTTCCATTATGCAGCAACAAAAGTGGCCTCCAGTGTAATAGAGTCTTCAAGAGAGGTGAAGAACCGAGAGCTTTTGATGTGCCACGGTCTGCTGAGGAAGGGGATAAAAAACAGAAGATCCTGCTATGGCTTATGGAAGGACAAAAAGAAATGGCTCACCATAAAAGAAGTCCTTATGGGTCAGTGATTTTTTCTTACTTTATTACACCACAAATCCTGTGATAACAGATTGAATGTGAGAAATGTCACTAAAATTAAGCAATTCCATCCATATTTCCCCCCCTAATAAGTCCAAGTTAGAACTTAGACAAACCTAAACCATTTAATTACCATTATTTTTCAAATGTAGGAGTGTCAATGGTTCCAAAAGGACTACAACCCATGAGGGATCTCGCCTCGGCTCCTCAGACCGATCAGGGTTGATGCATCCATGCCTGAGTGGCCAAGGCCGTAGCAATGTGCAGCCGTTTCACCCGTTCATCCAGGACCCTACCATGCCCCCTAACCCTGCACCCAGCCCACTCATCCAGCTGGAGGAGGTCTGTCGGAGGCTTCAGGAGGAAAAGATTAAGTCTGGAGCACTGCAGCCAAAGCACAGGTAATTAGAAAGAAAATGTCTTAAAAACACAGTCAACTGGTGAACTTCCTAAGTGGAATTGGAAAAAAACTGGTCTGTTGGGATTGTCTTGAGCAGACTGCTTTGGTTTTGCTCGGCTCTTTTGGCTGTTGGGTCTAAATCACGGTTGTTCGGTTCCTCAGGTATGTGATGGAGGTGATACAAAGGGGTCGCGCAGCTGTCAGGCCTGTACCGGTCCCTCTGCTCACCGAGGTGCCCGCTGTTTCAGACAGCGAGCTCTCCGAGCCCGAGTATGTTCACTGTGTCCCATCAGTAATAGTGGCAGAGCTCCCCTTGTCATTAATGTTAAATTTATTTTAGCAAAGCCTGACCCTTCAGGGTTTTTTTTTTAAAGGAAATTCCACTTTATCTTTTTTATACAGTAGAAATTGTATAATTTGTGAAAACAAATCCTAGGACTAAAACAGTTGGCAACAGAACACAATAAATGCACTTTGCCTGGCAAAGGTACTAATAGTTTAACTTTTCTTGATTGTTTCATGTTATGTCACACATAAAAAAAAAACATCAATACATTTTAGTGAGATTTTATTGAGAAGTAATTTCCCTCTTGGATTATTAAAGTATTTCTGATTCTGATTCTATATGACAATACAAAGTAGCTCCCCAATTATACAGTGGAAGGAAAACAACAATGTGAATTATTGTGTCCCTTTTTCTCTTTACCCCTAAATATTACCTTAATAGCATCTAATACAAATTCAGAAGTCATTTAAGTTGCTAATATATAGTGTTTAGAACAGTGTCAAAGTTCATCCCTAAACAGACCCAAAAGAAACAAAAACATTTTTGTTTTCCAAAGATTTGCTTAAATTCTGAGTTGGAATTATTTTGCAAGGATGATTGGGTAAGAGCTTCAATTTATAGATGTGCATGCTGGTAGATGGTTCTCTTCAGGGTTGTAGATTGTGGAGTAAAAAATGAGCACTGAGAGTTGATATGCAAGGAACAAAAGTTTTATTTTACTCTGCAGAGGAGAATGGCACAAACCAGCTGAATACAGCTGAGTGTGGTTCTGAAGCATTCAGAACCACACCCCTACATTTAAAAAGAATCCACAGCATACACACACATGAACATTGAATCTTCCCAAGAGAAACACTTTAGTTCATCAAATGGCATACATTTGCTCAGATAAACATTTCAGACAACTGTATTCCGTTCACACCAGAAACAGGACAGGAGAATGATAAGAGCATAAATTTTAACCATAGCATGAAGGAGGCTTTGTGAACTCATTCTTTCTAATGACCGTCCCCTTACCCTTATCTTGAGTAGGGAGGGGGGGCACCTGCTTTCTGTCCCCCTAAACAGTACAGCATAGTGAATGGAACAGAATCTCTCTATCATTACTTCTATTCAAACTAACATTTTATCACACAAAATAGGCCAAGGAAAAACCTTGATTCCACAAGATATTTACTTGTTAGCCAGTAGAGATGTGCGGATACAAGGTTTTTCCATTTCCGATATGATACTGATATTGTACCCTTGAGAACTGATAATAACCCGATACGATATCAGAAGCGATCCTACATACTTTTAATAGGCTCCTTATTTTGTAGCATGAAATGTTAGAAAAGTTTCGGTCAAGCAATATTACTCAAACAGAAAACAAGAAGCAATAGTCAATAGATATGAGAACAACCAACTCAGTTATTGTTACCCAGCAGGTTACAGAAACTTCAGACAGAAGCATCATGTATTCAGCACGCCAGTATTGGAGATTTTAGGCGCAAGCTGATATAACCCGAAATTTATTTTCTCCCTGATATTAGACCATTATCTGACATTACCAGTAGTAGGTTATTTGTACACAAGAGAGCATTGTAGTGCAGAAGCTTTAGTGGTTACCCTGTCTTCAGATAATGAGAAAGGTTTTACTATAGTTTTTTTTTTCATTTTATGTTGCGACCCAGAAGTAAGAAGTTTGGGTGATTAAGTTTTACTGTTTGTGGGCCGTCACATTCTCCATTACCTGTAAATGGCTATTGTTACACATTAATAATGACAGAAACACTGTATCATGTTGTATTTGCAAAAATAGTGTTAAAACTAGGGCTGGAACTAAAGTACAATTTTGCAAATCGATTATTCTGGCTTTTTTCTCGATTAATCGATTTATAATTGGATAGCAAAAGGTTCTTTTTTTTACGAAATGGAAGTGGAAACTAAAATGTTTCCACTTGACGAGTTCTGGATAGATCATATTGACAAAAAATGTAAGCTTAAATGCAAACTGTTTTATATATTTTCTTTACAATTTTGAAATAATTACTGCTTTAGGTGGGTTGCTCTGTCAGCTAAAGGCATGTTTTACTCTCTATACTCCATTTAACGATCAACTGATTACTAAATCAGTTGACAATTAATTCAATAATCGATTAATCATGATTAAACTTATTAATTGTTTCAGCCCCAGTTAAAATTAATCTGAAACCTTTTGTGTAAGACTGACTAAATGTCATGTAAACAAGAAAGACTTGCCATAACAATCAAAGTAAGAAACTTTTCCTGCTGTTGATAATATTGGCAGCCATCATGATTGGAAGTCTGGATGTGTTACCTTGACTTTCCAACTGGGAATTTAGGCTTCCAAGAGTATTCCAGCTGAAGTTTACTCCTCCAAAATGACACACAACTAGTATCTATTTTTGCCTCTGTATTTTTCCCAGTGTTTAGCAACCACAAAGAAGCTTCTGTTTTGTTTTGTTGTGGTAAATTCTCAAGAGGAAGGGAAATTATTTGCTTAATTTACTTATTTTTCTTCTTCTACAATACATATGTTACCCTAAAAAGGATTATAAGAAGTATAGTGAAAATCTCAAGTTACATAAGTATTGAATAAATTATAAAGTCACCAACTTATAACTCATCAACCAACCAAAAGAACATAAAAGCAAAAAAAAATTGATGGGTTCATTTGTCCTCTGTTGGGTGCCATGTCAAGTCAGGTTTTGACTAAGAGAAAAGTAATTCTAATACAATATGAGGCTTTCATAAATGTTTGATCAGAGCCTGAAAGAAAGGCTTAAAGAAAGGATCACAGAGGAAGGAGAAATGTTTGTTCTTTGAGTTTTAGCAAAAGTAGCTAAAGTATTACGAATACGGACCAAATCAGTTTGTGATGTTTTGTGAAAACATGTTTCTGTTTGATGTTTGACTTCCCTCCAAGATGGTGATAAATAGATGGTAGGGAGCTGCAGAAATGTGTTCGACTGAGATGAAAGGCAAATTACATGGCAGATCCAGAGGGAAAAGCCTTCTCATCATTAAAATTCAAGAAAGATTCAGTTTCACAGATTTTACCAACATGACCCTAAAAACAGTATTCAGTAGGTGAACTATATGAGTCGGATGTAAACCTAAGTAAATACGAAAATATGTTGATATTTACAATGTTATGACTGTGTTCTCAGAGAGGAAAGCAAGGCATGTTCCTCTGGGACATTTAAAGCCTTATGATGAGTTCTCTTCATTTATTTGTTACCATTTTCCATTTCCTACCAGTGATGAGAATTTGATTTTTTTTGGCAGCTTAATTTCTAAGTAGATGTGCTAATTTTAGATGAGATAATAATTTTCATCAAGTGTGACACATATTAGTCTGACACTGTCATCCTGTCAGTGTGAAGATTTATGGCTGACTGATAGAGGAGGATTTCTAATGAGGTTAGAGATTAGTAAGGATCTCTTGTCATGTCACTTGCATCCCCAGCTGGATAAACGGAAGACGGATGGATTGACTGTTGAGTCTGTACTACATCGTGTTGTCTATGGGCATCATTCAATTTATTCTAGGACTCACTAATATACCTTTTTGAATCCTTTAATCCTTTAATCCTTTTTAATGTAAGTGACAATAGGGCATATTGATTAAACACAGTGATAAGTATATGTGTAATTTCAACATCTCACCTTTTGACAAATGACATTATTCCTTTTGCTTTAATAAATATGTTAATGGAAATATCCTAAATAGTGGAAGTAGCCCACAACTTATAAAAAAAAATTGAAAAGTTGAACAGAGACATCCAAGATTGTGAAATCTTGGTACTTCGCACTCATGTTTTGCACATTTTGTGCTCTCCACTATTCAACTCTTTTTCACTAGAGCACCTATTGACATCAGACAGTCTTCTCTTTAAATTTGCCTTCATTTTTATCGACCCATATCTTCCTGACGAAGCCACTGACATGGGTCGCTCTCACTTGCCCCCAGTTAAACTGTATAATGTTTTTGCCCCTTGTCTAGCAAAAAAGGATAAACTTCTGCATCTGTTTAATCTCAGACTTTCGCAGCTCTGCTGCTTTCTGTTTCATCAAAACTTGGCTCTGTGAGCAGACCTCATACTGTGCACTTCCAGCAGTTTCACGTCTACCCGCTCAGAGCTCTTCCTATCAAGGGGGGGTTAAATCTGCTTTCACAAAAGACATTAAGTCTTTCCTTGGAGTCATTTTGTATAGACTATAACCTTGTATTTACCAAAGGGATTCTACATTTTGTTCCAGACTGTATATACATCAAGCCTGCATATCAGAGAATAAAAAATGTTTCATAGTGAATGTAAAAACACCAGAAACTCAGAATTCTTTAGGTCAGACCTCTCAAATTAGCTTTAAAAAAAAAACATATCAAGTGCCCCACCAGAAAAAAAAAATGCTATATTACAGCCTTAAAAGATGCATATTTTGCTGATATCAGGACCCTTTGGACATTTCTAACTATCCTGCCCTGCAGTTCATCTACACCGCTATTATTCAGTCAATACTGTGCATATTCAAATGATGCTTTGGCTGATCATCAGAACAGGACAAATAAAATTACAAATGATAAATACGTATGAATATGTGCTTCCCAACCTTCCCTCCATCAAGAAATCGTACAGGTGTATGGACAGGAAAAGGTCAGCTAACATCTCTGCAGACCCAAAACATACTGGAAACTAACTATTTAGATTTTAAACCTCAAAGGGGGTGATTTTTGAAAAAGAAAATCAGCCCTGAAATTGATGTGGTTTTTTTTCAGTCTCTTATTATGATCAACACTCATCAGACAGTGATTGGAGTGTTCCTCATGGTTAAACTTTTTTTTTATATATTTGTTTCTCTTTTAATATATTTATATTTTAAATGTCTCCATTGACAATATGAGGAAGAGGATACAAATATCTTGTGTTTGTCCAAAGATTAAACAAATAAAGCTGAATGTGATTCTGATGTTTACCCATTGGTGTGCCTGTTAATTACTGAGGTTTTGTTAAGGAATGTCTCTAACTGCAGATGTTTTTTTCCCCCCTCTTAGTGGATTTAGGATTTTGCCTTCATTAAGTCCAACAGTTTTAACAAATTAAATGAGGGCCATAGTCATTGAAACTAAGGAAAATATGCTTAATGTAAACAAATGTATAATTTTTTAATAGTAATTAGAAGAAGAATTTTTTCAATACTATTAGATGGTGTAGGATATTATTGATATTTTTCCCCCATTAACTCATTGATTAATGACTTTTATAACACTGCAGACTTCTTTCTTTTTAACAGTGGTTTGTTACATCCTAACAGTGGTTCTTTAGGATTGCAGCAACATATTTCCCAAAAATGGGTTTAGTTAGGTTAAAAAAAGCCACTTTAAACATGATAACAGACCTTTCAGGTACTTTGTTCAATATATTTGACTTCCTCTAGCTTTTCCTCCTGGTAAGATTTTCATAGGAAATAGTTTGCTGAATTTGTACTCTGTTAGCTTGTTACCTTTCTGATTTGATATTGCTTTTTCATAGTTCGTCTTGGAAAGCAAAAACATTGTGTTAAAGTTGCGGGTAAAATCCTGCAGGAAAATGTGGTTGACATAAACAAATGTATTATTTGTTCATAAAAGCAAAGCTCTACAGCTTCAATCTTCAACAATCCCAGAACATATTCCTGCTGAAAATATTGCTGCATATTTGTGTGAAGTTTTAGGTAAAGATGCATGTTTGCTTTGATTTTACTTTTTATTAATTCAGCATCTAGAGTATTTTAATGCAGTTCTGTTTAGAAAAATTCTGTTTTTTCTTAATGGTTTGCTTAAACCTTCTTAATTATAAGGTGCAGTATTTCAGTAGCCTCAGTTCTTTCCTACATAAGCCCCATCTTATTACAGCACACCAATCAGATTGCATTCTTCCACTGAGAGAATATGATTGATTCTTAAGGAAAACCACAAATTTGTTCAGTCATCAAAATATTATATACAGCTGTGTACGCCATGTCATCTAAAAATTGCCTCAATCATAACTGAAATACATTCTCTATTCTTCCTACTTAAAACCTTTGATTTTTTTTCTCACTCAAAACAGCACAAATTTCTTCTTACGAAAACATCACTGTCTTTTATGTGCTCTTCATATTTTCTTTTCTTATAGATACTGCTGTTTTTGAAGTATGAAGTTGTAGAGTTATTTTCTGTGCATATGGGTTTTCTTTTTAACCAAATTTCTTTTAGCTTTGAAAGTTGTTTGACAAAATGAAAATGTACTTTAACTGATTTTCTTTCTTTAATGTTTTCAGACATAAAGGCTCTAAAAAGCAGACGTGTGAGAATATTACCGTGGCTTATTACTTCTGCGAGGAGCTGATACCATACAGGACATCTGTCCCAGGGAGAGTTGTTACTTTGGGCCAGTTCAAAGACCTTCTTACAAAGAAAGGACATTACAGGTGGGAGTTATTTGTTGCCTTTCTCTGTGAAATACCATCTTAAAAGATTTCATATTGTCCAGCTATTAAAAATGTTAATGGATGGGTACTTATCAGAAATTGTTTTTTGGTATAAAGAAACTTTTATGCTGAGTCTTTTTTTTTTTATCTAAGGTCTTTTTTGGTTAGAGATGTTTATTTAAACTCACAACAGACATGAATTCATACTTACGCTTGTCTTTCAATGATTTATCTATCTTTTTTCAAGCTGGTACTAATAATACAATTACAGTGAGTTTTTAACTCAGGAAATAGATGTTCAAATTTAAAGTTATTTGAAATTTTCCCTTATCCAAACAGGGATGATATTAAACACAGATGCTTGTTAGATTTTTCTGTAACCATTAGCAAACTCCTCACATAATTTAGATGGTAAATCTGGACACTCTTCTTGCCAGATTTGGCACTGTTCATTGTAATTCTTGTTTTTTTTGCCTTTAACACATTTTAAGCATAAGACATCTTTGGAAATTTCACAAGTATACATTTTAAATGCATACTTGTGGTACCTGTTCTCCTGAAAATCATAGTTTGGTTAGATTTTAGTTTTAAATTAAAGAATTTAGGGATAGTCCTCCCTTTTCCATTCCCGTTGGTCAGTGCGCTAGTGTTACTTTGAAAGGCATTTTTAATAATTTTTTATTAAAAAAATCTAAATATCTAAGCCTGTATGATCAATACAATCAATAGAATGTTTTAATTGAATTGTTTGTGTTGTGCAAATTTAATATATTTATTTCTCGCCCCAGAAGGAATGGTAAAAATGTTCTTTAATCAAACAATATTTAGACTGTGTGAGAGGACACCCTACTATCTGAATAAATGAAAGTGTGAGTTGAACTCAAATCGTGATCAAACAGATAACTGATCATATATGGAATAAATTCACCACAACTTCCAATTAAAAATATCTTTGAGCTCCAAGTCAAATTTATTTCAGTTATAACTCTTGGGTAAACCAGTGAAACTCAATTAAACTAAGCTAAAATGTACACTAAGAAGAAAGAATAAAATAAATGGATGAAAACCATAATTGATCAATTATACAATGTATCACAGTTTATTTGATAAAGTATAAATGTGATCAAATTAGGTTTTGGCAAATTTTGTGCAATTGGAATCTGCTCAAACCAATTCACAATGCCAATCCAATAGGTGAATAAAAGATTATTTGGCAAAATAATATTTTATATTCCAGCCTCTTCCAGGCATCTGAATTTCCTGAAACTCAGAGAGAAATTTTGCAAACAGTCTGTTTTGAAGCTATTTTGTTCTGATGTCAGCAACCAGGTCCATTTAGCCTTTGGTTAGTCTTGATTACTGGTCCCTGAGTAAGTGGGCCTTGATGGTTTCTTCTCTGATGTAAGCCCCAGGAGAGTGTCACGAAAAAAAGAAACAGGCATGAGACTGTCCTCAAAGCACCATGGGGGGCAAAGTTACACCTTTGTTGAGTGTCTTGTGATACTGTCTTTTGCAGGAGACGGTTGCAGAAGCTTGAGTGTCCGAAAAGCAGGCAAACTTCAATCCTCCTAACCCATTAATTATGTTAAATATCAGTATGGAAACTGATTCTCAATATCCAAATTTAATATAATGGTTTATGGCGCTACATTTGTTTATTAAGATGTCATTTTAGGAAAATATGGATTTTTTTTTTTTTTTTTACTAATCCAGTCCTTGTCCCTCCAAAGGTCAGAGTCACATCAGTTCATCACATTTTGTTCTTAGATGTGTACTTATAACCAACAAACTACCTCTTAGTGTTATGCCAGTAGGTGCAAAGATTACGTTTTTTATATATTTGAGTTATTTGTAATGAAACATGATTCTTTCACAAGCAGGTTTCAGCTTGAATTTCATTTAAAGTTAAATTAAGGTCACCTCCTAGAGGGAATGATTGAAAAAAAAAATGTTTTTAAGGCAAAGGCAAATATGTCATTTGTTATTTTTATTATGAAACAAGTGTCAAAAAAAAAAATCAGATTTATTAAGAAAAAAGTCAGAGATTGGATGTGAGGAGAAGGAAAGCAAGAGACTCATAATGGTAAACATCAACACAATTTGATGTTTATTTTATTCCACCCTGAAAAAGAGCAGGTTGAACAAAATATTTAAAGCTCAGCATTAATGTGAGAAAATTATTCATGAAATATGGAACTTCATTTCAGGTTTGATTCATTTAGCTTTTGTAACAACTAAATCTTCTAACATCACTGTTGACTTTTTGTTTGCCTTTCCAGGTATTATTTCAAGAAGGTGAGCGATGAGTTCGACTGCGGCGTGGTATTTGAAGAGATACGGGAAGATGACACCGTCTTGCCCATCTTTGAGGATAAGATTATCGGGAAAGTTGAAAAGGTTGACTGAAGTGCAAGCTTCAGAGGAAAGAAAACAAAGATAGTGGATGAAGAGCAGAGGAACAGCTTAAGGTAAAGAGGAAGTGAGTTTAAAATGAGATCAGAGGAAAGTGAACAGCAGGGATAGATCAGAAGAAGGAGCAGTTGAGGAAACAACCTCAATCACACATTTTTGGAGTTGGATGTAGCATTGTAAAGTTTTCTAGATTGATGAGGAAAAAAGTACCCTAAAGCTGCATATTTTTGCTATAAAGATATATTTGAGGATTTTCTTCCTAAAGTAGCAGCAATTCTCATTTTTAAGTATCCTGATGCCAGAAATGTACAGTTTGTGTTAAAGGATAATACATTTTTATTCTATTTCTTTTATTTCAAATGCTAATTTTCCATTTTATTCATTTTCCTTGCTTAGGATGATAAATCATTTTGTGGAGCTGACTTTTGTTTTTATGTTGAACTTAAATGTTCTGAATGTGAACTTCTAAGTGTTTTTAACATGTTATTTTGACAAGCTGTATTTGTACCCGGATGATGTGGACACATAATTCCTGATTTTAGACTTTCTAAATCCTGCAAAATAGTGTTTTCAAATTTATTTTGCACAGTTTAAAATATTGAAATGCTAAAAGTAATTTTTTTGTAAATTAAGCCATATTTTTAAAGAATGTCTTAACTCAAAACAGATGTTTGTTCGCAATTTGAATACAGTAGGTTGTGCTAAAGTCAAATATTTCTGGTTCGGTGTGTATTCCATGTAACTAAAACCATTTTTAAGTGGCTAATGTTTTTGAGCCTTTTGCATTGAAGAATAAAAACAGAAATTGATGCAATAATTTCTAAATTAAAAAGGAGACAGTTAAATTCCAATGAGTCTATGCAAATATTTACAAAAATATTTGGTCACATTTTTTCTGAACATTATTAGACATTTTATATTAAACAGGACAACTATACATTAAAATATATAAATACATATATATTTTCAAATCAATAAATATTTTAAAGGGCATCATTTTCCAAGACAACCTGGCTGTATGTGAAAGAAGTTGTTATTGCGCCCCAAACCTAATACCTGGTTCTGTGACTTCTGATTGTGATGTATGCCTTTAATATTTTAATTAAGATATTTTATTTATTTATTTTTTTTTTTTTTCAAACCTCCCACAATTCTTTAAATTTATAGTTGCTATCTAATTACATTGTGATTGTCATTGGGATGCTGCCTGTGAAATTAAAAAGCAGCTTTTCCTCTGGTATAAAAAATGTTACACATGAAAAGTTTTTTTTTTTTTTTTTTTTCTTTTTCTCTAAAATTAGAATTTGACTGGCAGCCCAGTAATTGTCATTATTTATATTTTTCAATGTGTATCCAAGCATGAGCTCCAGATTTTCTTGCAGTTTATGTATTTTTTCAAATGCAAGTTTAAACGCTGAAAAACTCCTAAGTCTGTAATGTAGTGAAAATGAAGTCTGATTTTCAACCTGAAGCCTTCTCCGTGTAACTGGAAAGATATTTGGATCTAAATGGGATGGAGATATTTAACACCAAAGAAACATACTATTGGAATTTACCCATTTAGTATTTATTTCACAGCAGCCCTCAATATCCAGGTTGATGTTTGTTTTCTTTCATTCATATATAAGGACTATCTACTTTTATGATTGAGGGTTTCTTATAAATATTAACACTTCAGAGCATTTGAAGAGTTGATGTTTTCTTACTACTGAAGGAAAGAAATGTCTGCCATTTGACATATCTGCCACATTGGCCATGTAAAAGCAATCAGGTGGGGAATTCTGCACTGAAATTACACAAAAATGAAAATGGGAATTCAAGGCCACCATGTTTGTTTTTATTTTGCTCTTCTTTGTTATTTTCTTACAACATAAAGAACACTAGGACCTTGAGTTGAAAGTGCTCTTTTATTTGATCATGGTGTATTTATTGTTTGCTTTGTTTTTTGAATTGCTGCTGTTTAGATTACTAACTCAAATCATTTTAATATATGTGAAGCTCATTTGCATCCAGTGGTTATTAAGTTATATAGTTGTCATTTTTTTAAGGTTTTGTTTTGTTTTTTTCTTTTTCCTTCTTTTAAAATGAAGGATCAGCACTATTCTGTACTGTGAAATCGCTACTTCTACTTAAATCCATGGTATGTATACAAGGAATTGCAGAGTGCCTTTATTACTATGCTAATGATGTCTGCAGCATAATGTTTAGATAAATATGGTGACAAATTCCTTCCTCTCTGAGGCTTTTTTTGTGTGCGTTACTTTTTTTTCTTTTTTTTTTATCCTACAGACGTCAATGTAAATATGTAGAAATAAAACTGTAAGCAGCTCAGCCTTCACATTCACTGTGTTGGACCTGTTTTTCTTATTTTGTCTGTTTGTTGTTTTTCTCAATAATTAGCATGGTGACCATTTTAAGGTACCAGAACAATAAATCCATGCAATAAACCAACATTTAAGCTTTGTGTGCTTCATCTTTAAATGTTCCTTGTGCTGATATATATCATAGCTATAAAGTGTGGAATAAAAAAGCACATGTAAACATTTATATGATTTTCTCAAGTATAAGAATATCTAAATTTCAGATATTGAAGTTTTATATATGGAAATCAAAATATGATGTTTATAAATATGAATGATAAAATGACTGATAAGAAAATATAAAGAAGGATGGACTTGAAGCCTTAAATAACACACTGCAAAAAATTATCTAAAAATAAGTAAAAGTTAAGTGTATTAATTTTCGTAGGTAAATAAGATGTTTTTCTAATGGAATGGGTATATTTTCTCCTAAAAAAGATGATTAGATAACATGCACTTGAAATAAGACGATCCAATTCTTTTTTTATTATTTTAAATATAAATCCTCTTGTTCCATTGGCAAAGTGTTTCTCTTACCTAATCAATTCCAGAAAAAAATATAATAATTAATTATATAATATTAAATTACATAATAATAAATACACTTATTTTAAGAAAAAATGACTCACTTAGCGTCAGAGTTTGGTTGTGGTTTGAGGACCCAAATGCAGAGGCAGAGAGGGTGAGGAGATTTCTTGCAGTTTTAATGGGGAAAAAACTAAACAAAGGCAGGAATCCAAAAAAAACAACTAATAATGTAAACCCAACCAGAACCATGGAGACATCAGGGGAAAATAATTACGAGGAGCCAGGGAGAGACGAGGTAGGACGAAAACAGCATGGAGATCCAGCAACGACAAGGAACCAACAAAGAGTGACAGCAGAGGGAGAGTATATGCAGCTGACTGAGACAAAGGCAGGGTTAACGAGCTGACAAGGAGCAGGTGTGAGAGGAGACAACGAGGGAGCCAAGGGGAAAGGAACACACACACACACACACAAGACAACAGGGCAACAGTGGACAACAAAAAAAACATGAGAACTAACATAAATCTAGAAATTACAACAAAACAGGAATTAAACCAATAAAACTAGGAAACATGGAGCAAAGTAAAGCACAACAGAAACAAGACCATGACACTTAGATTTCAATTTTTTGCAGTGCAAAGGCTACTCTAATCACGTTTTGGATGTCTTAAACTTATGTACTCCAGTAACTCAGAAAACATGATTATTTTAAAAAAATATTAATGATCATTCATTAGGGACTATTCCTTGAAAATGCGAGGGTTGTAGTGATTTAAGGTGAAGATTTGTTAAAAGTCATTTTTGAAAAGAAAAATGGAAGGAGATACTTTAACATGTGTACAACACATATTTTTTTGTTGCCTTTTAAGTATAGATGTCTAGCTTTTAGAAACTCTTTTATAGGTCGATATCCACAGTTCAAGCAATTTAAATTCTGCAGAGCTACACTGGAACATATAGAGATACTAATCTTTCTTTTCTCCTGCTTTGCTTTCATAGTTTTAGTAAAAGTGATTTTTAATACCTGAAGGATATTATTTACAGAGAGATGTATCTGTTAATTTGTTTCTGTCACATTCCACCTCAATTGCTCAGCATTGTATGTACTGAGGCTTAACACATCTGCAATGCTCTACTGCAGACAGTAGATAGCACTCTAACTCTTAATTTTATGTTTAGATTTGCATGCCTGTATTTACACCTCACAGTGATCCATTGTATGAAATGGTTGTTAAAGATGTGTTAGGCATTTTTCAGAAGATATCAAATTATGAAAGAAAAGCACCATTCAAGAAACAGATTATATTTTAACCCCCACCCACCACCAAATTAACTGGTCACTTGAAAGGGATTTCCACAGGTAATAATAGAAATATAGAAAACAAATTGCATGAGAAGTTGTGTCCGAATTTTCTAACTGTTAGCGGTACTGTACATCTCTTGGATTGTTTTGCCTCTAAATGTCAGATAGATAATGATCAATGCATCATTATGCAGTAAATAATGAAAAATAATAAATAATAATGCTGTGAGCTGCGGCATTCATCTTTTGCTGTGTTAAATTAGTCATTCACCTCCGTGTTTAAATATTAACCACATTAAAAATCAACAACAAAACATGCAACTGTTAAAGTGAGCTTTTACTTAATCATCACATACTGTATTTGTTACATTTTTACACAATAGTACGAAGCTCCAGTGTTTTTTGCTGCTTTTGTTGACACCTCTAAAAGCCCAAAGAATGAGTTATTCCTGTGAGCTGCTGTTGTTTGTGCCACTCCAGACTAAATCAATCGGACCTCTTACCTTTTGACGTCATTCATTTCACTTCACCCTCATTCTTAGCGCTGCTGTTTTAATCTGAGGTATCATAAGAAAACACCAACATAACACAAAGCAAAAAGCTAACCCACATATTTTGTGTTAATGCAGAAATTGCAAGCCTGATAGATTGTTTTATGTTATTCATTGCATTAAAAAAGTAATTTAAAGCTAATCTGTGGCAATTAAACATCATGTTGCTGAATTTGGACGTAAAGTTTAAATTGTATGCAAATTACCCAATTTTTTGTCATCTCTCCTGTTGCATAAAGTTACCGGCAAATGTCAATGATTTAGAAAATAAAACATGCAGATGTTAGACTTCCTTTCAACATACTGGGTGGTTATGGTTGATTGTGTCTTTCTAGTGAAGTTAACTGCAGCTTGACTGAGCTTTAAAGGCTTCAAGTCTACTGTTTTTAGTAATATGACAATATGATATGAAATGATTTAGTGTAACAGAAAACACAAACCCTGGTCTGCTTTCTCCTTACTGAGGCGCTTCAATGCTCTCTTGATACAATGTCTATTTTTCTTTCTATTACACTAGGAGACAAAAAGGATAGCAACTGTTGACTGAATCTAACATTATTATGCCCCCAAAGCCATTTCCAAGATTAAAAACAGCAGAGTTTCCAGAGCAACCAAACAGCTGGTACAGACCAAGCCAAGGTCCATAGTGACGTTATTATGTGTTTTCATAAATTTCTTCTAACCTTCTGACAGTGCTAATCTCTGCACTTTTGGCTTGTTTGACTTTAACAACAGCTATTACCATCGCCCACTCAATCCCTTACTCCATATACATTGATTCATTTATGCTTCATTTTTTGGTTTCTCCATCAGCCCTTCAAGAGTGCCTGACTTTTCTGATTATAGAAATGGTTTCGAGCATTATTACATTTAATTGTGGACATATGTGGACATAGTTTAGTTTGTAATCATAAGAAGATAATACTAGTTGTACCCAAATAATAAATCCTTTTTCACAGTTTTCCCCACTCTGTCTTAAACGGTGGAATATAATTTATTTTAGAATATTAAGGGTGGAATTTGTATGATATTAAGATTTTTTTTTAAAACAACTAAGTCATAAAAATGTAATTGTGTAATATTATTTTATTACCGACATTACAACAATTTAGTTACCCACCTGCATCACCTGCAATTAAACTGTGACAAAAAAGTAATCATGCAGTTTGTGTTTATTGATAATGTAATTTATTAGTACCACATAATAAAACGCATTAAGTCACCTTATCAGTTCACAGCCTTAAGTCATGATTATTGCAGAGACATTTTCTTTAATTTTGCCTGTACAATTTCAAGTGTTTAAGTGTTATGAAAATATGAACTAATTATTTTAATGAAATGAAAACAGTAACCTACTTTATAACCACATATTATTTAGCGATTGCTCCTATTCGCAGTGTTTTTAGTTCACACGTGTGTGTCAACATAACCATGCTATTGTTTATTGAGTACAGTGAATTTACATCATAATGAAGTTAGGTTCTTTATTATTTTGGGTTTGTCAGTGGTATAGTACGGAACTTATCTAAGAATCAAGATGGCTTTAGATTATTGGATTGTTCTCTTACACTCTAACAGTAGAACAGTTACATCCAGGCTTGTCACATCGGGCTCAGGGGTCTCCAGCTCCAAGCTTTGAGTGCCACTGTGCAATTTTTGGATACCTCCCTGGTCCAACACTCCTGAATCAAAATACTTAATTACCTCCTTGGTATATCAGCAGGCTTTGCTATTCCCTAATCACTATTTAGGCCTTCATGAACTTCCTTTAACACCATTATTTGAACACCAAAACCAATCCACTGTTGCTGACCCGTAACTTTCTAAGTATGAACTAAAATCTCTGATTATTTGTAATGATCTTGGTGCTGATGACTGGCTAAATAACTGGTTTCATTTACGTGTCTAGTTTCTGAAACCTAGGGTGACCATATTTTCATTTGGGAAAACCAGGACA